TAAAGCACAGAAGTCAAAGAGCTTTTGGGATTTAAACCTTTCATATCCTCAAATCTGTCTTGGTGGGTTACTGCCTAGATCAAAGATGAACTGTTCGGTTGGAATGGTATTTCTACAACCAAGCACGGAAAAAAATTCTCAGAACTCCTTCCACAATCTATCTTTTCAACCACCAGGAAAGAGAAACCAAAGAGCTTTGATGATTGAACTTCCCCTTTCGCATCCATCAAGGATCACCATCTCAAAATCCTTGTCTAATCTTTGGGATAGAGTACTTTTTTTAGCTTCCCCCTAGACTGGAGCTCATGCACATTTTAAAGATGTCTCCATGGATATCTTGCAAAGAGACCAAATTGCCGTTTTCTATAGATTTTATGTTCTTTGTTTTGTTTCCATTTTTCCTTTTCCTTCTCTTAGTCTAAAAATGATCCTTACTCGACCAAAAACTACATAAAAGGGTATAGTTGAAGATCTTCAAATCAAGACGCAACAACAAAACACAAAATTAATATCGTATTCTGAACTATGAAAGAAATCAAATGCAAACGAAGAAAGTGCTATTTTGAGTTCTCAAGCCCATCCCACAATGACAAAAGAAATCAACATTGTATAGCCCTGAACTATAAAAAAATCAAATGCAAAAGGAGAAAGTGCTACTTTCAGGTCTACCAACATGAAGCAAGTAATTAATGTTGACCTTATTTAGAATTGTCCACTAACTGATGCTTTGGAGAACTTTCACTTTCCAAAGAAGAAAGAAAGGGAACATTTACCAATATAAGGCCTCAAATTCCCGTACCTTCTTCACGTGTTGGTTCAAGTACCATCACTAGAGCTGCCACATAATCAAAACCTCTACCACCATTGACTTATAAGATGGTAATGGAGAACTAGCACCCGACCCCAATTAGTTTTGCAACCATCATAAACTTATACAGAATATTTCTTCTGAAAAAACAAATAATTCTTTTCAAAAGAGGACCTACCCTAACATTCACTTTTCTTTTTCTTTTTCCTTTTTGGAGAGAAAAACAAGTTTATTGCGAAAGGGAAAACATTGCAAAGAAACCAGTGGATAACTATCCAACTGAAGCTAAAGAAGAAGAACATAGCAGAGAGTAAAAAAAGATAACACATAAAAGGTAACAGATCACGTGACTATAGCATCCAAGAGCCTGTAAAGGACAGTAAGGGAAAGGTCAAAGTATTTCCCATGAGCCTTCGCCAAAAGGGAAGCCATGAAAGTCATCTTATCCCAAATAGATGTGTCCGGCAAAGATCAGCCATCAAATATTTGTTGATTTCTTTCTAACCAGATTGTCCAAAGACTTGCAAACAATGCCATGGTGAACTAGCCTTCTTTCCAACTCCAAAACCACAGATATTGCTGTTGATGAAGCATTCAAATGAGGAAAAATTCATGATCAGTTAAAAGTATCAAATAGACCAGTCCACAACTTCCACACCATCACAATGTAGAAAAAGATGATTATGTGCTTTCCCTCCTTTATGACACATTACACACCTCTCAGGAGATAAAGCTCAGTTAAGCCTATGAATCTGCAACAACTGGTTGGTGTTTGGTTGATTCAAAGAATTGATGTCAACATAAAAACTTTCACATTTGAAGGAATCTTAACTTGTCAGAATGCCTTGGTAAAAGAGCTCTGGTAACACTTAGGGTTTTTTGCAATGTAATCGAAAAATGATTTATAGGCTTCTGATGATTCAAAGGTCCATACCCTACAATCACTCTATTGAGAGGGTTGAAAAGAGTGTAACAAATTCGACATGGCAAGGAGTTCATTGGTTTCTCTATCCTTCAAACTATGGAAAAACTGAAGATTCCAAGTAAGTGAATATTCCAGGAATCCATTCGGCATGGCAAGGATGTTCTATCCACCGCTCCAAAAAAGTTCTTTCTTTAGATGTTTACTGTATCTCACATGAAATTGAGTGTAACCAAAAACAAGCCGCTGTATTCATGATGACTTTCTCTGTGATGGCTGGAAAATTGACCCTTTCTTCCTCTATCCTCACATTAAACACCTTCGCCTCCATCACCGTCTTCTTTTCAACCCCATAATTTAACCATAAAACATATAGTAAAGCTGATAAAGATTTTTTAAAACCAGTTTCATCTAATAGAATTCTGGCCAACTGACTAGAGCACTAAGAAGACATGATAATTAAACACAAATATCATTTATGTTATCCCACTGCTTTTGTTTCATGATTGCAGAATAACAGGGAACATCTTGATATGTTAGCAGCCTAATGTGTGGATGCATGTAGCATTTCTTTTGCTACATAACATGGAACCAAGTCATGGAACAAGCATCAAAAAATAAGCGCAATATATGATTTTCTTTCAATAGCATATTAAGTATAAGCAAGATAGTTACAGTGGCAGAGGACAAGATATCCTCCATGAACATTCGAGAAGAACTTCATATCAGACATAAATTACAAGCACGTGCAATACATGATATTGCCAAAAAAATAAATGATTCTCCAAATAAACATCAAGCAAGTATAATTATCTAAAAAATTATCTCCAGCCAAATGCACACAGAAAATCCATTTCTTCAAGCTGTAAATGCAAGTAGTCACTATTCAGTGTACATATCTAAATATACATTCCACCTCGTTTAGGGAAAAAGAGTAATATTATAAACAAGGCACCACATAGTGCCACAGAGTACATGAGCATTCAATATTATCCAGCTAAGAATATGCCTAAATGCAGATTGGAAAGGAAAAAACTTCAATACAAACTATTTATTGCTAAAGAAAGCCATAGGACAGACCTCGTGAAACCGGCGAAGATATGGCAAAAATTGGAGGATATTCAATCTCACCCAGTATCATGGTACATTCCACTTTTAGAACTTTATTAATGTCTTCATGCTTTGGCCAATAGACCTGGTCACAATATTTTAATAATCCTAATAAGTAGGCAAGCATCCATTGATATTCAAGAGTTTAAACAAAGATGATAGTACTGCTACATGAATTACCTCTTTTGTAGCATCAGGAATAGCAACGAAATTTGAGAGCGATCTCTCTCCTACAAACCACTGATATTTCAAGACTAGTTCAGGATCAACTCTAAGAGTGCTATCTAGGACAATTGTGAAGTGACAACGGCAAGAGTCTTGTTCACAAGGTTGATCAATGGAGGCTTCTTTAAGCAGATAACCAGAAGGTAAGTGATTCTTCCACTGCTCAACAAGGAAGCCAAAAGTTGACTCTGCTCAAAATACCACCAAATTCAATGTTAAATATCCAGAGATCATAAATCTATTAATGTAAAATGCAACTATCTTTGCGTATAGATGAAGAGTTAGATTCACCAATTCCAGATTAAATGAAACCTGAGATAGATACAAAATCTAAAGGCAAGAGAATCATACTTACCACCAAAGAAAACCACATAAAATTACAAATATTACAATGTATACATTAACTCCATCAAATACCACTTGTTCAGTTTCACCGAATGCAGAAATATCAAGATGGTTAAAGAAATGGTAACTTAGGTTAAAGGTACCCTGTAATCAATTGTACTTTACTGTCTATACTATTTTCCATGCTAATACAGCTATATATGTAGGATTGTAATATTTAATTGAATACAAATCAAACCATTCTTAACATGGTATTAGAGGTAAACAATAATCCTAAGTTTCTCACAAATCCTAAACTGGCTTTATTACTAGAATAAAAAGAAAGAACCATGAACCCATATCCTGCCTTCACAATCACAGGCCAGCATTCGTAGCCGGAATAAGTCCCTGCCGTGCCAGAAAACAACCCTGCTACCACAGAAAAAAGCATGCTCCAGCACCCAGTTTCAGCGAAAGCAACTTTATTTTGCCTCTCTTTTTTGCCCCTGTTAAAACCAGAAAGGCAACTGCATCCAGCAAGAACAGCAGCCGGCCACGCACTCTATTTTGTGCTGCTCAGTCGTGCATTCTGTTTTTGCCCTGTTTTTCGTGCGCACAACCCTGTTTCCACACTTTATTTTTCTCTGTTTTGACTTTGCTTCACATTGCTTTTTATTTTATTTTGCGTTAAGATCTGCTCAATTTTCGTACAGATCTACATTATACCTCAGTTTTGCTACATGATGAAAATTCAATTCGAAAAAGGCATAAAATGATAATGCACACAATGTCAAAGTTTTTTTTAACAACACACTTTCATCGTTATTTTATCAGGAAGGAATTCTCCATAAATTATCAATAGTCCACACTCCACAACAAAACAGAATAACGAAACGCAAGAATAATTACTTTTTAGCCACCACTAAAGCTTTCCTTTTCACAAATAATGTTTCAATATTGTTTTGGGACTGACTTTGATTCTGGATCTGAGATAAGTCACAAAAATATATAAAATATGATATTATACTTATTGTACTTCATAAAGGCTACATTCAAAAAAAATTGCATCATTTAGCCTTATAAAAAGAAAACTAATTCTTGAACCCTTTTTATGCCCATGTCAAGTTAAGGTACTGCAGAAGAAAAGACTGCAAAATCCAATCCAATTTGTTGTAATCGATTAGTTAACATGTTGGTTAACCGTATTCTGAAACATAAAAAAAATTATTGGCCTATCAAATTATCTATCGAGTCTTGAAAAAAATTCAACAAAAAACATAAATAAATCCACTATCTGATTTACGTCAAGCAATACATGGAGTAATTCCCGATATAGTAGTAAAAGCAAGACGTGTAGCTGGATCAACTTATCAAGTTCCCATTGAAATAGGATCCACACAAGGAAAAGCACTTATTATTCGTTAGTTATTAGGGACATCCCGAACACATTCAGGTTGAAATATCGCCTTCAAATTAAGTTCCAAATTAGTGGATGCTGCCAAAGAAAGTAGCGATATCATACACAAAAAGGAAGAAATTCATAAAATGACAGAGGCAAATAGAGCTTTTGCACATTTTCATTAATCCATGAACA